ACTGATGAAAACACAAGGGAATCCAGTCTGAGACGTAAGTTTTTATTGTTGTTAACTAGCTTGATAAAATAACTTTTTTCTTATAATTTCTTTTCTTATTTTCTAAGCAACAGTACACTAGGGAGCGAAATCGAACAGCTTTATACGCAAGCTCATACGCAGTAATCTCCCCTTATCAGTACGGCCTTCTTGGTCAATGCCTAGACATCAAAACTCCAAACCGGTGTTAAATAGCCGATTAACACCGCTAAGACCGATTTTATTTCTTAAGTATATGCACGGCCGTACAATACCATTATACGGAGCCGTAAAAGCCGCACGGGTATGTGATAAATATGTTTATAGACTGACAATATTCTTACACTGCCTTGTGAAGACCATCCGCTGTCTCTGTTTATTCCTGGAAATATATAAAGCAACATTTAATTCATCTTTTATCTTACGTCGTACGTATGGTTATTGCTCAGAAGGTAATACAACAAATATAGCTTAAGCGGTGTTAGGGACAATATAAAGGATTTTCCTCTAAACGTTTAAAACATTATAATTTTGTAAAAATTTTATCGTTTTAAATTTCTATCGTTTTACGCATTTATTATTTATGCCATGTCGTATATTTGCTCCGAGTGGCGCCAGGCGAAAACACAAAAATACGAACAAAGTGAAAACTTTGGAGTACATTCGCTCCGCGGGGCCCAAGACGAAATCACGAAAATACGACAAGTGGTTACTCTGTCGTATTTTTGTGTTTTTGTTTGGCGCCTCGCGGAGCGCAAGTATGACATTGCACAAATCAGCCACCATAGTTTATGAACTGCAACCATCTACGACAAAACCTAGGACAAGCGTGGTCAATCTGAAGCATTAAATATCTAAATGGTTTAACATTCTTTCGTTGGTGACCAAATACCCTTCAATATGACATTATTTTTAAAGTATAAAAGAATGCTTGTGCTCTAAAACAGAAAATGATGGACAGATCAAGTACATGTAAAATGATATTATGGAGGGGTCAGAGCTTATGATTCAGGCTACAAAATATATGGAATATGATACGGCAAGAAATATTTTAAAACTTCGTAAAATGCACGTCAGAAATAATCGGATTATAATTTAAATAGGGACTTCCTATATGATGATGCAGATATATAAGCAAATTGAAAAAATAATGCATTATAATAGAGACTATAAGATTGTCAATCTATGTGCTGGAAGTGTTTATATTTGATGCAAGCTATTTCTAGCTGTTTTGCATGACTATACAAACCTTGTTAGTGTCGATGGATAGAAAATGTCCAAATATGAATCATTTCCATAAATACATGACCAAATTAAGAAAATACTAGCAAAATTCAATCATCTGACCTTGGCGGTCAAGGTCATATAAAGGTCAAGGTCAAATTTGGGGATTGTATTATTATTATTATCATTACTATTATTATTATATATTGCAAGCTAAATCTTTATCATGGAAACTGTGTCATTACAATTTGACTAAATGGTTTAAGATTGACTATCTATCCCGTGCATATACTACGTTATCATTGTGCAAGGATTGTTATCTTGATACTGCTATATGTGCCGGGGTGGGTATCATTCCTGGACACTTACCACTTAATGGCGTACTTTCAGTGCAAGATACATTTCTCCTTGTGGTTCCAAAAATAAAGCGCTCTGCATGGCAAAGAGTGGATATCAGTCAAAAGAATGTTAAATTTAATGTAATTACTTAGGACTTTCACTTCATCACGTCCAAAAGAGAGTCATGCGGATCTCGTTATTAACATTATGTATTAGTTTGTGGCACTAAACAATCATGTGAGCATATGAAAATAGACACTACACAATCATGTGAACATATAAATATAGACACTACACAATCATGTGAACATATAGAAATAGACATTACACAATCATGTGAACATACAGAAATAGAAACTACACAATCATGTGAGCATATAGAAATAGACACTACATGCACATTCATGTGAACATATAGAAATAGACACTACACAATCATGTGAACATACAGAAATAGACACTACACAATCACGTGAACATATAGAAATAGACACTACACAATCATGTGAACATATAGAAATAGGCACTACACAATCATTTGGGCATATTGATATAAGCACTACAAAATCATGTGAGCATATAGAAATAGATACTACACAATCAGGTCAGCAAATTGAAATAGACACTACACAATCACGTGAGCATATTGCAATATATACTACACAATCACGTGAGCATATTGAAATAGGCACTACAAAATCACGTGAGCATATTGAAATAGACACTACAAAATCATGTGAGCATTTAGAAGTTGACACTACACAATAATGCGAGTATATTGAAATACAGTGCATCCTCTGCAGTGTAATTACCTCTTCTTACAACAACAGTCTTAATTTTTCTCAAATAAATACTTTACAATAAACAGCAAAGTTACAACTCTCAGCTAAAATCCAAAATATATTTCTCTAAAAGGGTGTAGGTCTGCTGAGTTTATACTTAATTTTTGTTGTTATGGTTTGATTTATCGTCGAACCAACACAGTAAATGTCATATATCGAGCTTCCAGCTTTACTGAAGGAAGAAGACCTAAGGTGTCCCTCCTTACATTATTTCAGGCACGAGTGGGCACCTGAGTAGAACGACCGACGTTCCGTTAGCTATCTAGCTGGATAGCATTCTGACTTGAAAGAATCCAAAGTATTTTGCGAGACTCGAACTTACCGCGGTCTGGGGAAAGTGGTTTGAAAACAACGACTTTAACCATTCCGGCACGGACACCCCTTTATACTGCTTACAGTAATTGATAAGGAAATCATCAAAGTGAGAAAATATCTATTCTCCGGATACTTTCTTGCTTTAACTTAAAAAATAATGATAAAATGATACAGGTAATAAGATAACAGAATTCTACACACCTTTACCGAACGGCGATTGAATTGGTTCCAGATCTGAAAAGAAAGAAAAGGAAGACAACTTATTTCAAACTGCTGAATTAGTGAAGTACACACAATGAACTACTAATTAGTGCAATGCTTTTTATTGGTAGCAAGTGCTAAGCACATTTGATTACATCAGATGGAGTTCCTTCCTCTTACATTACGTTACAGTAATTTAGTAAATGTAGGCAGGGAACCAGACTACCTAAGGGTACCGGTAAATATATTGGTGCCCTGCTATCTGGGTAAAACGGTGGCGCAAAGGTGACATGTTTGTGTTTTTATTTATCTCGTGGCCACGAGATGTCGTGGTCACTAGTTACTAAGTTACTAAGTCGTGGCCACGAGATAGCTAAGTCGTGGCCACGATATAGCTAAGTCGCGGCCACGTGATGAATAACCAATCAGAATTCACTATATATATAGACATTTTATACCATATATCAAAAATGAAAAGAAACAGAAACAGCGAATATATGGTTAAAATTTCAACCTGTTTTCTGTTATCTCAACGACAGTTAAAGTGGACAGCGCGTTCCACTGTCAACATATACAAGGAGGCATAACTATGCAAACGTGCTTATCTTATATAATAGTCAACAATTATTTCAAGTTTTTTTGTTGTTGTATTGTTATTTATCATTTGGCAAAAAATTCAAATAACAGGTTAAGCCTCCAAAATTCGTTCTAGGGCAACACTAAATTAATAAAATTGGTTATAACAGGAGCCGGAAGCAGATTTATCTTTTAAAATACTCATTGATAGAAGTTTTTTAAGTAAAATGTTGCTGGTGCCGAATTATTCTTCATTTCTAATATCCCTCATTATGAGATTGCACTCAAAACTATTAAACAATAAAAACCCATGGTCGCTCACTAACACTTCGTTTAATTAGCCCAATAGTACGTTGTTTGCTTTAACTTTGATAATTTGCTTTAACTATGAAACGGGCTATAATTAACTTTGAATTGCACTATACGTAGTCTAGAGCGGAGCTAAAGAAAACAAAGTATTTCAAAGTATACAACCTTCTTCAACTCCCAAAGCTTCAATCAACTGTAAATAAAGAAAAGAACAATAAACAGTTTGAAAAATGTATAGCAACTGTAATCAGACCATTTAGTCTTTAATGTAATATGGCTTTCTAACATCTTAAAATTTAACAGGAACTAATCATGCAATGGCAGTACTAGGACGTACTTCTAACACATAAAATGACAAGAAGTAAGGAGAGACACCAAAGATGGTGCTGATGGCCAAATTTATTAATAATTACAACCTGAAAGTTTAAATGAAATTCTTAAAAGCTGGAAAGGTAATACGGCGATTTTTTATATAACATTCATATAAATAAAATAAAAATAATAATTACTGCACGAGTTTCTCTCCTTTCAACGGCAACTTGTTGCGGTGTTTGTCCGACGTTATTTCGAACCTTACAGGCTTCTTTGAAATTTGGTAGATTGCCTGCGCACCATTTCGCACATTCTTCAAGACCGTGCTCTGCACAAAAATGTGCGAAGTTTGGATATTCACACTCTTAAATGAAAGAAAGTTAAACTTTCATATATTTAAACAAAACTTAAATAAACGAACTATTACACTGAATAAAAAGCAACACTAGCCATAATTATATAGAGACGAGATATATATGGCGCTTATATACATGTCCATGAAAAGTGACTCCGAAAATAAAAATATTAATTCTAGATCCAATGAATCTACAATTTGCGCTCTTTCCTATAAATTAATTTCAAAAACTTATTAAAATCAAATTGCCTTAATATCAACTTTAATTCCAATATACAGTAAGAAACATAAGTTACAAAATCAATAAGAATAGTAATCATAAAAAAAAAATAATAAAGGTATATCTATACCATTTTCTTCGCCGTATTTAAGCAGGATCTCAACAAAAGATACACAACTTGATCCACTGATCGTATCCATCAAATCGCGATCAAAATCAGCTTCGTTAATATTTAGAAGCTCAGCGATAAATCTCTTCGGATCTTTTTTCTTCAAATCAGTCAGTAACTCCTTTCTGACGGCTTCTTTGTCTTGAATATGTAACGAATATGGTCCTATATCAACGTCATCTGCCAAAACTCTAATATCGTGCTCTCCCGGAGTAAACTCTATAGAAAACGTAGAACGTTTTAAGGTTTAATCCTAATTCAAAATAAATGAGCCGCGTCACGTCAAAACCTACTTAGTGCGTTTGCGCACTCTGATCAGGATCCATGCTGTTCGCTTACAAACCCTATTAAAAGTAGAGATACTGATAGCGAACATCATGGATCCTGATCAGACTGCGCGGATGCGCAGGCTGGTCTGGATCCATGCTGTTTGCAAACGCATTATGTTGGTTTTGTCGTGACGCGGCGTCAAAAGCAGGGAACAGCGTCTTACTGAAGTCAATAGAAAATGAAAATGGTGCTGGGGACAGCTAAATACGCGAAATAAACAATCAGATATTTTTAAATTTAAGCGTTCTCATTGGACAACGTCTAAATAGCAATATCCGACTGAAAATCAGATCTAATAGCGTTGCTTTAATGGCTCAGAAACGACAAAAAGATTTTTACTTCTTAAGGATGGGCAAATATGAATTATTATAACATTTAAATAATGGTTTAAGACAATGTAACATGCTTGTAAGAAATTGGAGATAAATGTGAAATAATTTGTCATAAAAGTAGCAAAATGTAAATAAAGTAGTCTTTTTACTTCCATACAAAATATTAAATCACTCTAACTGTACTTATTGCCAAAAAAACAACAAATGAAAAAAATGTTCAGATAAGAGGCCAACGAGCAACTTTTCAAGAATAGAGGCATTTTTATAATATCTGCGGCATAATGGGCCTTTAAGGGTCTGGTTTTAATTGATAAATAAATGAGAAACATACATACTAGAATAGATTTAGTGTATACAATGGGGAAACAATATTACGCATTAAAAATACTGTTAGTCCTCACCAAATTATATATATAATAATAATAATAATATTTATAATAACAATAACTATTTTAATGAGGCTACACAGTTGCTACAAAGACAAGCTACCTGGGTACCGTTTAAATGTAAGAATACTTTACTATTTATGAGCTATTCTTTACAAACTATGTTTGATTTGTACATCTCTTTATATTAATATAACCAACTTTAATACGATAATTAACCGAACATTTTTCAATCATGTTAAAAGGAATCTTTCTTTTATTTTCGTTCTTAACAGACAAAAAAATAATATGAATACATCTTCTTTAATTATTTAGTTTAAACAATATTTTATTTATAGAACATAACATTTTCATGATAATTTTCATAATAAATTGTACGGATACAGTAGGAAGCTTGAAAACTCTCTCCGTAATTTTTCTTTAATTATTTGTAGAGATTCACGAAAAAAATGGCATTAGAACTGATACAGATCAAAGAGGAATAACAATTCGTGGAATTAATTGAGAAATGAAATGATTGTATTTCAAAAAAGAAAGATATTCTAATTACCAAATACGTTGAACGACCAGATATTTGGTTGTATTTTCCTGGCTTGATGCACGTTCCCGCCATCTTTAACCTCGAGTCTCGTGACGTCATTGTGCTCGGTAGTTACATCATCAAACAAGATGATAAATACTTCAGACTGGGGCTGTAATATATTCAAAACAAGAATGCTTTTACAATGAATCGGACATTTTTCTTTTCTTTTTTTTTTAGATAAAACATTTTTAACTTAGAAATCGTTAGAAAAAAAATTATCAAAAAATATTATAGCGCACTACACCAAAGATTGTCTTTAGTACTTGATATAATTTTAAAAAAAATACGTTTAAAGTTTTACTTTCTCGGTTTAAAGCCTGAAAACGGGATCAATTTTATTTAGGAGTCTGAATAAGAACAATTAGGGAAAAAAACAACTTTATCCAAGCTTAAACCAGAAAGTAAAACTTTAAACATCTTTTTAAATATAACAAATACTAAAGCCAATCTTTGGTGCGCTACATCATTTTTTGATTTTCTAATGATTTCTTAGAATAAAAAAATGTCACATTCGAGACGATGGAATGTTTTCAAAAAGAACAGTCCGATTGACGCGATGACGTAGTATTCTACCATTGAATGAATAAAGACAACAGGGTTTTTTTCGGCTGCTTTCCCATGCACAATGATTAAAGACTACAGGTAATTTCGGCTGCTTTCCCATGCACAATGATTAAAGACTACAGGTAATTTCGGCTGCTTTCCCATGCACAATGATTAAAGACTACAGGTAATTTCGGCTGCTTTCCCATGCACAATGATTAAAGACTACAGGTAATTTCGGCTGCTTTCCCATGCACAATGATTAAAGACTACAGGTAATTTCGGCTGCTTTCCCATGCACAATGATTAAAGACTACAGGTAATTTCGGCTGCTTTCCCATGCACAATGATTAAAGACTACAGGTAATTTCGGCTGCTTTCCCATGCACAATGATTAAAGACTACAGGTAATTTCGGCTGCTTTCCCATGCACAATGATTAAAGACTACAGGTAATTTCGGCTGCTTTCCCATGCACAATGATTAAAGACTACAGGTAATTTCGGCTGCTTTCCCATGCACAATGATTAAAGACTACAGGTAATTTCGGCTGCTTTCCCATGCACAATGATTAAAGACTACAGGTAATTTCGGCTGCTTTCCCATGCACAATGATTAAAGACTACAGGTAATTTCGGCTGCTTTCCCATGCACAATGATTAAAGACTACGGGTATTTCCGACTACTTTTCCATGCACAATGATTAAAGACTTCAGTTTTTTTCGGCTGCCTTTCCAAGCACAATGATTAAAGACTATACAAGCATGTTTACTACAAGCATGTTTATGTACAATAACATGCGCAATGATTTGCTGCCTTCAACACTCAACACACAAACAACTCAGTATACATTTGATCAAAAGTACTTGTTTATAAAATATGATATATAAGACTGGGGAAGTCAGAAAAATTTTCAATCATTATTTTCAAGTTAATAAGCTAGGACTTACTTCGGACTGAAAGCAGAAATGTGTGGAATGTATATATGATATTTTTAATACATATAAAAATGCGGAACAGACAGTGTAAGTTTATAACAATAAAACTATATAATCTTAACTTCCTGGATGTTATCTGTAAATTGTAAACAATTAAAAATTGAGATATCTACTTACTTCAGACAGTGTTGAAATCGTGTCTGGTTTGATAAGATATCTGCTTGCAGACGGCACTTCCCTATTCTCGTTTTCCGCCACACGATACTTTATTCTCGCTTCCGCGTTAAACCAGTCTTCACCGGAAGCTGTGAACAATCCTACCGACTCCCAGTTGTTCACCATCTTTGAAAACATGTCAACAGCCGCTTTCTTTATAGGTTCAGCGCATGATATAAGCAATATGGTGTCCTTTGGTTTTGAAAACAGATAACCAACATCCTTTTTCGGTTGCCTTTCAATGTCTTGCCACAGTAAGGCAGTAAGAAAAATAACTCTGACAGTGTTATCGTTCAGTGCTGATCCTAATTCCAGGAATCCATCCAGGGTCGTTGTACGAATATGAGCCACATTAGATTGTAACGATGCCCTCAGTTTATTCGCTAATATTTTAGCATCATCCGGAACTATCATAAACACCGACATTGCTACAGCTAACAAAATTTGTATAAAAATTATACAATACATATGTGTTTTGATATGGTGTACTTTTTAAACAATGTGTTAAACAGTGTTATCATAATTGATTAATTAAGTCGTAGTCGCAAACAAAACAAAGCGTTGTGTATCATTTAATTTTTCCCTATTTGATAACATTAGGCCTTCGGTTAAATTAGGTGATGAACTGCATTTGAACAAATATCTTATTAATGTTTCATATAACCTTAAGAGAAGTTGGGTTTTTTTAATTATTTTATATTTATTTTTGAAGTAGATCAGACAGAAAATAAGCTGTACCAGTATCCACTTCCGGTTTGCAGCGTTACGATGTCGTCTGCTAATATATTATGTCAAAAATTTGATTTTTTTATACTCCTGCTAAAATAATGCATAACTATTAGGTTCTCTCTTACTTACTATGTTATAAATAAAAAGTCCTGATAGAGATTCGTACCAGAAGGGGAGATGGTTTTAAATCCGACTTTGAATCACCTGTGATATCGTGTACATGTAATTGTTGTAGATAACAATATTGAATGATTTTGTTTATAAATTAAACTTTTAATTCGCTATACGGTGCATTAGTTCAGCTGGCAAAAAAAATGTGAAAATTATACAATTATACAAAATTCCTACCTTGTGACTGACGTCAAACAAAATCATAAACTAATACTGTCCAAGTTCCATTTTGATTATGTGATGATATGACAATGTAAAGGTTTTTAACAATGACATTATAAAAAAAACCCAGCAACAACAAACAACTTGCATTAACCAATAGAAATGAACCTTGCGTCAGTACCAAATAATCATAAAAAGTGCATAGCTGTAACCAAACACCAAGATACCGGTAACATGTCCCAAATAAATGAGAGGGTTGACTATCAGGTTAACCTGTATGATATTTGATATTATTTTGCGCAGTAGAAATAAACGTGAGGTTCAAATATATGTTCTACTAATCCCACATGATTTCTGAATCTGCAATCATTAAACTAAAAGTTCGATATCCAAATTTGAATAGGCGGAAAAGACATGTGTGTAACAAAAACTAAAAATGTAATAATACATTAAAATAAGATTTAATAAACTATGGTTGCTGATTTGGTACATTGCGCGTTGCAATTTCTTGCATGTCAGACAGGATTTTCTTGCATGTCAGACAGGATTATCTACCGTTTACACCGGTGCTAGAAAACCCTGTCTTACACCCCCCATGTAAGACAAGTCGCGTGCTTTAAATTACGTCAAATGTTGCTGCGCGCCTTTTATGAATGAATTTTGTTCTTAGGATGACGTCACTTAACCGTTATGAATGAAGTTGTAAGTTCATACGCTACTATAAGAAAAAAGTACGTAATGAAAATATCAGGTTTCGTTATTTCTGTTCTGAAAATAATTGGTATGTAAAATTATACTGCCCTCACACATACCTCGCGACCTTACTGCGTCCTTACTGCGACCTTGCTACGACCCAGGACGCAGCACAGTCGCCATGGACGCAGCAGGGACGCAGCGAGGTCGTAGCGAGGAACCTAAGGACGCACAAGGTCGCAGACCGTCGGCGACTATTTTGAACATGCACAAAACAGTCGCAGAAACTCTGCGTTCTTGCTGAGTCCTGGTTAGGTCGCCGTGGGATCGCAGTGGAGTCGCCATAGTCGCAGCAGCATCGTAGTAAGGACGCAATAAGAACGCAATAGACGTAGTTCACTCGTACTAAGGACGCCGTAGAGTCACCGATGAAATTACAAGAAATTGCTCGGAAACCTTTGGCGACGCTATTTCTACACACTGTGAACCACTACCAAACTGCATATCTGAAGCGGCGACTGGGTCAACTTGTAGCACTTTAGAGACCCTCGCTCTTTTGCCTCGTCCGCCTCTCATCTTTGGAATAATATGGATGACTTAACTTAATACTAATTAAATATACGTCTTCACTCGTTGAAGGTCAGACTCAGAATGAAATTTACTGGTAAAAGGTATTGTTTTTATAGACGTAGCAAGAACGTAGTAGGGTCGTCGTACAGTCGCAGGACAGTCGCCGGACAAACGCAATAGTCGTCGTAGAGTCGCCGTAAGGACGCAGAGAACATAGCACAGTCGCAGCTGGGTCGCCGATGATCGCCGTGGGGTCGCCTTGGGGACTCAATACAGTCGCAGTGGAAACGCCATGGACGTAGAAGGGTCGTATTGAGGACATAGAGAAAACGTACTGAACACAAGACTGCAGAGCCCCGGACCGTCTGCGAGAGAAATTTGAAAGAAAACCAACGATTTTCGAAAGAAAAATGCTATTTTACTAGTTTTCAGGTCGCAGTAAGGTCGTGGGTTATGTGTGAGGGCACCTTAATATGCAAGAAAAAGAATCAAACACCGGCTGTCGGTACCGACGGGAATATCTAGCTCTCGGGTAACTGTTTAAGCGGAAACTCGGCAGAGCCTCGTTACCGCCGTAAACAGTTACCCTCGAGCTAGATATTCCGGTCTGTACCGGCAGCCAGTGTAAGATTCTTATAATCTACCGTTTACACTGGTGCTAGAAAACTCTGTCTTACACCCCCATTTAAGACAAGTCGCGTTCTTTAAATGACGCCATTGACGCGCGCCGTTTATGAATGAATCGCGTTCTTATGATGACGTCATATTTTCCGTTATGAATGAAGTTGTATGTTCATACGCTACTATAAGAAAAAGTGCGTAATGGAATATCAGTTTTCATAATTTCTGTTCCGAAAATAATTGACAAGTAATATGCAAGAAAAAGAATCAAACACCGGCTGTTGGTACAGACGGGAATATCTAGCTCTCGGGTAACTGTTTAGCGGAAACTCGGCAGAGCCTCATTACCGCCGTAAACAATTACCCTCGAGCTAGATATTCCGGTCTGTACCGGCAACCGGTGTAAGATTCTTATAGTCGATAGCGACAACACAACCTATATCGTTATCGCCTTTTCGTCTGATCGCTAGTCGCGAAGCCGCGCTGTCGTCTTGTCATCCTGCCTCTAGCGAAGCAAGTCGTCAAACGGCGCATCGTGCGGCGCGTTGTTGCGATGTCGCCCTGTCGCTTGGCTTATAAGCCAATCCTTCGATTTGACCGAGGGAGAATGTGACTTCGCGATAACACGCCGCACGAAAACGCGCCTTTTGGCGTACATCGTTAGCGGCAGGACGACAAGACGAAAGTCCTACGACGTTGTTCTGTTGTTACTAGCGCCAACACGGCGCACAAAAGTGTTCCAAATCAGCCACCATAATAAACACAATCACTATCATTGAATAGATACTCAGAAGTTTATGTCCGCTCTAAAAGACAATTCAACGGTACAATGGTATTTTGTTGTACTTGGGATATGATTGGGTTTTCAAAATAAGATCTTGCGATGGAATGCGCAGACCGAAGAGACGGAGATTTAGTCTCGTATTTTAACTATGCTGCACAAAACACCAACCTTTTACGCTTAAAACACCTATCATATTTCTCGATAGATTTTTAAGTTAAACCAGTACAGAATATTCGAGCAGCAGTACAATGCCATCTATGAAATAGATTATCTGAGCATACTTACGCAACTATCTACCTCGTGGCAGCAAAATGTATGTGATATATACTTTAAAATTGAAAGTTTACGTACTTTCATTGTATCCCATTTTGTCATTTTTGTCTTTTTTGGTATATCACTCTTTTTAATAGTATCTGTGTCACATGTGCGCATTTAGATAGCTAAACATGTGTTTGAGTTATCCGAAACAAAGGAAACTGAGCGGAACGCTATCAATTTTTGGGGAAATTATTGTATAACAGGAAGTATAAGAACTCGACATATATATATAAACGGAATTTAGCCTTCCTTGATTACCTCACATCTGTGACGAAGTACTTATTTTCTTGACCCTTACCCTACATTATTACGTAATAAATTAATGACTTGCCTTTAATATTTTAAAAGAAATTTTACGGCATTTCCATGAAAGTTTTCATAACTTTTCCATAATAATCAAGCCAATGTTTAATTTTTTTATCATTAATCATTACAGTCATGTGAATAAAAATTATTAAATTAATGTCGAAGTAATAAATTGCGTAGTTAGCCGATTTAGTAAGTAATATATGTGAAAAAAACCACATAAAACACAATAAACCATACCAGCTGGTGTAGTTGTATTATATTTCATAAGGTCTGGATGTGTAACTAACTTCTTTATTTAAACTACGCAAGTACTTATACGAGGGTTGTTCAAAAAGTAATAGGACTGCAGCTCTACTGTTCACATTTTTTCATACACGAGTTTACAAAAATCGAATATCGGAAATTGTCCTCTATATACAGTGAAAAAAATCAATACAATATGTTTAAAAACAACAATTCTGTGCAACTTACAAATGACAAGGGGTACGCGACCCGGCGCACGCTAATAGTTAAAGGGAAAAACAAGGTTAGAATAAAAACTTGATTTCAGAAAACGAATACTATAAATAATAAATCTGCAAATTTTCTGCCGCCAAATAATAATATTAAACGAATGATAACGAAATTTAAATCGCTAAATCGCCGATTTCTACAAATCAGTAGGCGCGGCCATGTTTGTGTATTGGCCGTATAAAAACAGGTGCGCGTGATGTCATTTCCCCACATCTTTAGATTTATGATAAATCGTAGCGAAACATTTACATATTAATAAAGTATTGACCAGACAATTTAATTTTCACAGGAGGTGTAGAGGCGATTTTTTTATTGTTCAAAATACGTAACAATATAAAAAAAATATAAAAAAAAATAAAAAAATAAAGAAACAAATAAAAAATCAACGTCTACCGGTCGCACCACTTCAGGCCAGTGATGCCCGTTTCTCCAAACAATGCTATGTTCATTAAAGTCTCATCTTAATGTAATTAATAAATACACATGTTATTATTTAACAAAGTTTCACAATCAAATAATGCAATTAAATAAACAAACGCACCAACGAATAATTGGCTGTTAATTATTGAACGGCGATAATTATCATTATTATTAAAATCCTACTAAAACGTGTTCTAAATAGTACACGTAATTAAATGTTTGCAGTTTGATTCTGACTTTCAAATGAAAAGGTGTGAACATATGTTAGTAGTGATGTACACATTTCAAAAATATTTTACATCGTAATCGTAGCCTAATATTAACTGCATGCAAAACATTTTTATTGGCTGCTCAAAAATCTCATTTGCATAATTTATTCACACAATTGCTGGTTCTTACTACTTATGACTAATACTGTGTATTATCCATTTTAATTGTTCCTAATTTGCACCAAATGTTCCTGTCACACTGTGTACTAACGGTTTTTATTGCTCCTTGTATGCCTCTGTGCCGACAGAACTTTTGATCATGCACAATGTTGCCCTGATTGGTTAATCACCCTTCAGTTGTCAAATATTCTATTGACGAAATAGACATATTTTTTTACGCTTCATCAGTGAACTGAATGACCTTAGGGTAGTCAAGTTATACTGTACATTACAGCATTTCATACAATAGCAACACATTTTTCAGTTACCAATAATCATTTTGAATATTAAGTAGATTTATGTTTTTTGTTTTATTGGATTAAATTTACGGTAGTAGAAATGCATATCTGTGTGGTAAGTAGATAACGTGGAAAAAAGCTATAGCAGTTTTGACTGGGTGCCTAATTAACCGAACGGACAGTTTTGTTTTCATACGATATTAGTCTAGCTGCCGATTTTCCTGCGCCATTTTATTTTTAACGTCAATGTCGGAAAATCGCGTCCTCAGGAAATA